ATTGACATTCAAATTGAAATGTTTAATTTTTTTTATTACTGTTTGAATTTAAACTTTTTTATTGAAAATACCAAACCACTCATGTTATTTGTAATCGTTTTGTGAGGATAATTAATAAAATTTATTTGTATTCATGTCATGTTTGCTTCATTTAACTTGAAAAATGTTTATTTTACTGCAAAATGCAATGAATGTATGGTTTAAAGTTTAAACCCAATTGAGAGGTCATTCAATACGTAACCAGAGTTGGATCAACTCATACACAAAGTAAGTGACACTAAATCATGAAACGACAGCCCTGTACGCTCCCTCTCATTGGTTGAGTAATGAGTGACACGTATAGCCAGTGTGGAGACCATACGTGATGTGTGAATGGGATGATGTGTGCAATGTTTGGGTGTTTTTATGGAGGCATAGAGAGAGCGAGTGATAGACTGATAGTCATAGCAAATGAATGGTAAACTGCATTGAATTGAATGCAACCTAACATACAGTATATGCAGTCATGATATAATCAAATGAATACATATTTGTATGGATTGTGACTATAATTAGCCGTCAAATCATGACATTACGGAAAGTGAAGGGAAACTTTGACCGCATTTTCGACAAAAACCTGTCGGATCTGGTCAGAGGTATCCGTAATAACAAGGATAATGAGGTAATTGGTGTCAAATGACATATGACCGCATCTGACGCTATGTTGTTATCATTGAATTGAATCCCATTTTGTTTTGTATTTGCATTCATTTGACACGAAATGACGTGAAGAATAAATATATTTCTCAATGCATTGAAGAGATCAAAGAGGAGTTAAGACAGGACAGCATTTCAGTGAAAGCCAATGCCGTCGCCAAACTCAACTATGTATGCATCACCTGATCCTGATCCTGTGAACCTAATCATCCACTTATCCATTGTATTGCAGCTCCAAATGATAGGCTATGACATCAGTTGGTCCGCCTTTAATATCATTGAAGTGATGTCTTCGCAGAAGTTTACGTATAAGGTATGCCATCACTTGTCATTTGATCCGTCAATTGAACCGATTATGTGATGTATTTGTTATCCATTTGTGCAGAGAATCGGATATTTAGCGGCCTCTCAATGCTTTCACGAGAACACAGAGTCAAATCATGACATTACGGAAAGTGAAGGGAAACTTTGACCGCATTTTCGACAAAAACCTGTCGGATCTGGTCAGAGGTATCCGTAATAACAAGGATAATGAGGTAATTGGTGTCAAATGACATATCACCGCATCTGACGCTATGTTGTTATCATTGAATTGAATCCCATTTTGTTTTGTATTTGCATTCATTTGACACCAAATCACGTGAAGAATAAATATATTTCTCAATGCATTGAAGAGATCAAAGAGGAGTTAAGACAAGAAAGCATTTCAGTGAAAGCCAATGCCGTCGCCAAACTCAACTATGTATGCATCACCTCATCCTAATCCTGATCCTAATCCTGTCAACCTAATCATCCACTTATCCATTGTATTGCAGCTCCAAATGATAGGCTATGACATCAGTTGGTCCGCCTTTAATATCATTGAAGTGATGTCTTCGCAGAAGTTCACGTATAAGGTATGCCATCACTTGTCATTTGATCCGTCAATTGAACCGATTATGTGATGTATTTGTTATCCATTTGTGCAGAGAATCGGATATTTAGCGGCCTCTCAATGCTTTCACGAGAACACAGAAGTCTTGATGTTAACCACGAATATGATCCGAAAGGTTGGTGTCTGTGTTGTGCCATTGAATGCTTCTCATGAGTGGTGTGTCTGTGTCTGTGGTGTAGGACCTGAACAGTCAGAACATGTACGACGCCGGCTGTGCGATGAGTGGTTTGTCGTGTTTCGTGTCCACAGACATCAGCCGAGATCTGGCCAATGATGTGCTCACTCTCTTGACGTCAACCAAACCCTATTTACGTAAGAAAGCGGTTCTACTTATGTATAAGATTTTCCTCAAATTCCCGGAAGCATTAAAACCCGCGTTTCCGAGGCTTAAGGAGAAACTAGAAGACCCCGACCCCGGTATGTGTCAATCATCAGTCATACCATGAGTTTATATGGTTATACTAAATGTTTGTCACTTATGAACCATCAGGAGTTCAATCGGCGGCCGTGAATGTGATCTGTGAGTTGGCCCGAAAGAACCCAAAGAACTACTTGTCATTAGCGCCGGTATTCTTTAAACTAATGACAAATTCAACTAATAATTGGATGTTAATTAAAATCATAAAACTGGTCAGTCTTACACTCCTCTCATATTCATTAGTGTATTACACATACAATTAACCGAAACTTTGATGACTTATTAATTGAATAATTTTATGAAATTGATGTAAAACTCTGTAAATCTTTTAAATGTATCGATTGCTTAATGTTGTGGCGCTTTGTCCTCATCTCTAACTCTGATCTCTATCTCTACTGTAATGTATGACAGTTTGGTGTTATGACACGTTTTGAGCCCTTACTCGGTATTAAATTAAGCCATCCTTTGATTTCAATTATCAGAAGGTAATGACAATTGAGAACAGCTCTAAAGTGTGTGCTTTCCATCCTTCCCTTAAATCCCATTTTGTTTGTTTCGTTTAATCACTAAAACACTATAAAACCTATTGTTTGTCAGTAAAACTAACCACAAACTGAACTGAACTGTCACTCACTCTTGGCTTAAGGTCTCTAAAATTTTCTGCCAAAAGAGCGTATGATTTGCTGCCACTTATTAACTGTTATTTGATTTGAAAAATAGTTATTTTTAATTAACTTATTATTTTATTATTACGGTATTATTATTTGCTTTATTTTGTAGTGAAATATGATTTGAATGTTTGATTCGTTTACAGTTCGGTGCTCTGACCCCACTTGAACCCCGTTTAGGCAGAAAACTCATAGAACCGCTAACTAATTTAATTCACAGGTAATTACATTTGTTTTATTTGCCCCACACCTGGCCTACACATCTTATTTTGTTCCTCACCACCCGTGCCCTACCATCCCCACCATATTATCAATGCTTTCGTTGTCTAAACTAATTAGTGAATTATATGCCGTATTTATAGCACATCTGCAATGTCTTTACTATACGAGTGTATAAACACTGTGATCGCTGTCTTAATATCCATATCCAGTGGTTTACCCAATCATAACGCGTCTATTCAGCTCTGCGTCCAAAAGCTCCGAATTTTGATCGAAGATTCCGATCAAAACCTCAAATATTTAGGACTTCTGGCGATGAGTAAGATCTTGAAGACTCACCCGAAGAGCGTTCAGGCGCACAAAGACCTGGTGCTCACCTGTCTTGACGACAAGGACGAGTCCATCAGATTAAGAGCTCTCGACTTACTGTACGGAATGGTTACCAAAAAGAATTTGATGGAAATCGTGCAGAAATTGTTGGTTAATGTGAATGAAAGTCAAATGGGAAACAAATATAGAGATGAAATCATTGCAAAACT